ACCTCGTGATCCGCCCGCCTCGGCCTCCCAAAGTGCTGGGATTACAGGCGTGAGCCACCGCGCCCGGCCAGGAATGTGAGTTTTAAAGATGACATGAAACCTTAGCTCTAAAAGATGAGGCTGTTTTTAATCAAGAAAAAATATTAACTGAAACACCAAGTTTCTCTTGTGGCCTATTTTGAAAGCACCTTTAGATCTATAGAGATCTGCTATGTGAATCTTTTTCCACCTAACAGTTTTGGAATCTGCCAGCAATTTCATTTTAATGTTCTTTTTAAAGGCTGTGATAAATAAAAGCATTTAGAAGCCAGACAGCTTAGGCGTCTACTGCTAAATGGGTATTGATTTGATTTGAAGAAATATTATATATTGATATTATAACGCTAGGAAAGAAGTAATGAGCTTAGAAAATTATCAGTTAGCTGTACAACATAGGGAATATCAAAAGGAGGGCTTTTTTTCTTTGTTGAATAAATAATACTTGGATATATACATAATTCAAAAGGTAAAGATAATATACAGTGAAAGGCTTCCTTTCACTTCTTGTCTTTCAACTACCCATGTCCCTTCCCTGGATACAGCCAGTGTTACTGGTTTCTTATGTTTCATTCTAGATGTAGTCTCCATACATACAAGTAATTATGTTTTGGCAGTTGGCTGCTTCTTACAATATTCTGCACCTTGTTTTATTTTGTACTTAATTTTGGAAATCATTCCATATTAGTACTGAAGAGTGGCATAGTAGTCTATTGAATTTATGTACCTTTTTAAAGAACATGTCTCTTATCGATGAGCATTTAGAAACACATAATGTCACATTTATTTTCATACTCCTCATGACTTTTTTAGGAAAAAGTTGTTAGAATATTGTAATGATAGTAAGATGAGATTGAAGGTAAGCCGTAGTGCTAAAGATGAGTTTTGGTAATACATATGATTTTCAGATTTTGAACAAGAGAATGTTAGATCTTATACATGTACAATTATATGTTAATTTAAAAAATTTTAAATGTGTTTTAAAAAATGTTAGATTCTATAGGGCATGTGTTTACCTCCATTGGTAATTTATGCCCATTATAAATGCTCAAAAAATATTCAGAATGGCTTTTATTAAACCTTTTATTAAACATTATTTCTAATGTAGAATCCACACTGGGCCATAATATAAAATCACTTCTAGATTGGGCTCAATAATCATTTTAGTAATCTCTGTAATGCCTTCAGAGCAGTATAGGAGGTTCTCAGACCCCCATGCAGGTTGTTTTGCTGGGAGGAAGTTTAAGAAGTAGTGAGAAAGAATGTGTGCCTGTTTATTGAGTCTTTGAAGATTGGCTAGATTAGCTCTCTGCTGAGTCAGCTAGTTGCCAAGTCCATTTCCTGCTAGAACTTTCTGTCAGAGTGTATTTCAGAAGCCAGGAATAGATTTTTTAAGAGTACCTTTAACCATTGAGATGACAGAGGGAGAGAATGTCTAGGCTAGTGTATTACAGAAATTGCCTGACATTGGTCAGGCACGGTGGCTCATGCCTGTCATGCCAGCACTCGATGAGGCCTGGGTGGGTGGATCACTTGAGGTGAGGAGTTCAAGACCAGTCTGGCCAATATAGTGAAACCCCATCTCTACTAAAAATACAAAAATTAGCTGGGTGTGGTGACGTATGCCTGTAGTCTGAGCTACTCAGGAGGCTGAGGCGGGAGAATCGCTTGAAGCTGGGAGGCGGAGGCTGTGGTGAACCGAGATTGCACCACTGCACTCCAGCCTGGGTGACAGAGCAAGACTCTGTCTTTTAAAAAAAAAAAAAGAGCCTGACATTTATGTCTGCTTTTCAGTGACTTTTTGCATATTTTCTTAGCATTTATTTATGCTATCCTTGTTCTTGTTGCACTGTCAGACTGTCAGTATTGCTTGTTATGATCTTTGGTGTATTCATTTTCAAATTACATACTTTGTCATTTAAGGGCATGTTTTCTTGAGACTTATACAGTGAGAAATATGAAGAAGGACAGAGATTTGTACCCTTACCCTGAAAAAGTTACCCACAGGCTACCTGCTGAAATCAAAAGACAGAAAATGTCTAAGAAAAAATGAATATTTTAGGCTGGGCACGGTGGCTCACTCCTGTAATCCCAGCATTTTGGGAATCTGAGATGGAAGGATCACTTGAAGTCAGGAGTTCAAGACCAGCCTGGCCACTATGGTGAAACCCCGTCTCTTCTAAAAATACAAAAATTAGCTGGGCATAGTGGTACACACCTGTAATCTGAGCTACTCCAGAGGCTGAGGCAGGAGAATCACTTGAACCTGGGAGGTGGAGTTTACAGTGAGCTGAGATCATACCCTAGCCTGGGCAACAGAGCAAGACTGTTTTAAAAAAATAATAATAATTTGTCTATTGATTTTTTAGTTGAGAGAAAAAGTATCTTTGAATATTCTCATAATAATGCTTCTCTTTTTATAGTTTCATAAAAATACATGACAGTCAATAATGTGGTACTACAAAATATAAGAAATTTTATATTTGAACTGCAGTTACTCATTAGCTATCTATATTTAAGAAAATCACTTACCTTATTTAAGCCTCAATTTTCTTTCTTTTTTTTCTTATTATACTTTAAGTTCTAGGGTACATATGCACAACGTGCAGGTTTGTTACGTAGGTATACGTGTGCCATGTTGGTTTGCTGCACCGATCAGCTCATCATTACATTAGGTATTTCTCCTAATGCTATCCTTCCCCCAACACCCACCAAAAGGCCCCGGTGTGTGATGTTCCCTGCCCTGTGTTCATGTGTTCTCATTGTTCAATTCCCACCTGTGAGTGAGAACATGCGGTATGTGGGTTTGCTGAGAATGATGGTTTCCAGCTTCATCCAAGGGACATGAACTCATCCTTTTTTATGGCTGCATAGTATTCCATGGTGTATATGTGCCACGTTTTCTTAATCCAGTCTATCATTGATGGACATTTGGGTTGGTTCCAAGTCTTTGCTGTTGTGAATAGTGCTGCAATAAACATACGTGTGCGTGTCTTTATAGTAGTATGATTTATAATCCTTTGGGTATATAACGAGTAATGGGATTGCTAGGTCAAATGGTATTTCTAGTTCTAGATCCTTGAGGAATCGCCACACTGTCTTCCACAATGTTTGAACTAATTTACACTCCTACCAACAGTGTAAAAGCTTTCCTATTTCTCCACATCCTCTCCAGCATCTGTTGTTTCCTGACTTTTTAATGATCGCCATTCTGACTGGTGTGAGATGGTATCTCATTGT